GTACAACAGTGTGTGCAGTAGTTCTCCGAATATATGTAGGGATTGCCATTAGGGCTAGCATTAGGCAGCAGTTATCATGACACATTATCTGAGATACCACTGTAATATTACACACCAATTGGTGATGGATGCCAGTGATGACTGAAAGAGAGATATTTAATATTCCACATATGGGGAAATACTGTGTTTTCCTTCGGTAACACTAAATGCTAACTGCAGGTAAATGTTGAATTTTTAATAGCTACCACTATGTATATATGCTACAATAAACAGATTATTTATATAAGATATATACATAAGACACATCCACACATTCCTCTGTACAAATTAAGGAGAAAAATGATACAGAGAAAAACATCAAGTTATCTGATCTTTGAGATAAATGACAATTGCACACTTCCCATTTGCATTGTCAGAAGTACAAACAAAGTTGTGACTCTTCATTAAAAATAATAAGCACACTATGAAAGAAAAAAACATAATTTATTAACAAAAATTTTAATAAATCTGAAGAAAAAAGTCTTTGGTGACACTATCTATAAAAACAACCTATCTTTGATGATAAACCTATAACGTTATACAGGTTAATGAAGTAAATCAAGTTATATGGCTTTGAATTTTTTTTCTCTCTCTCTCTGTTACACACTTTTTTGAAATTTAATTACACTATGTTATAGTCAAATGGCGAGCAGAAGGGACACTTAAAAAAAAAAAAGACGTGGCACCACTATGAAAACATTGGTAACACATTAGAAATTTTCCCCCCGAATGTACATTTTATACAAAATAAAGTATGATTTTTTGTTTGCTTTACAATTGCCCATCTAAGTATTCCCAGTTTGATTTTTCATCCTTTTCAATCATATACTATACATATTTTCTCTCCAAATAAATATACAAGATTATGTACAATATCATAAGACCCATTTGATCACCCTAATTTCAGTGGGAAATGATCATTCATGTCAACAAGGGAGAAAAATCCTAATGCATCAGGTGGTTCCAAAGAAATTAAATACAACGGCAAAAAAAGCATGTAATGACATGTAAAATAAATTGATATATAGGTCAACTTGACTTGACTTTACTCAAGGGTGAGACGAACAAAGCTTGGAGGACTGTTTCATTACCCTTGAGACAATGTCTGTGACCCTGCAGAAGGCAGAATCCAGCACTTGCAGAAAGCTCAGTTGACTTCTACAGGACGCTGCAAAGGATCATGGGTCCATCTATGTGGCGTCTCATTGAAGTCAACAGATCCCACTGTAGGACTGGCCTACTGTAGTTCATGGCAATATTTCTTCACACAAAAGCTACAGTTTCTGACAGCAAAGCCAGACTGGAAAAAAAAATCATCTTTTCCTTGCTGTAAGAGAATGCTTGGGTTGGGCATTTAACAACTAGATTTCATTTTAAGAGGTATTATAATGGCAACCACATACTATTCTTCTGTTTTGGATAAGGAGGCACATACAAATATGTTGCATTTAGGCAAGGGGTACGTATGGCCATTGCTGCCAATAAGCGTGGAGGTGGCAGTGAGCAAATGGGACTCTGGGCTCCTAGCTGTTGCCACCATAGCAGCAGCCAGAACTCTGGGGCCTTTAAATCACTGCTGCTCCCTTGGATGGTGTCATCTGGGCCGCACAGAAGGGCTGATGGGGGGAGGCTAGCCCCCAGCCCTGCCCCTTTTGCCCAAGGTCCTGCCCCTTCCAGGAGTTCTCAGAGCTGACTCCTCCCACACCTTTCCCAAGGGCCTGGCATTTCTGTCTTCAGCCCCCTGTATAGCTGATTATAGGCTGGTACAATTGTTTTAATGTCAAATTATCCCTTCCATTTTTTCAAATGAATCGATCAAATCCATGGTGGATTCAAATGGAAAGGTAGATCGAAGTGCTCAGTAGCTGCACCTCAGCATGTTCATTATGAAATCAATGCAAAGACTAAACATTCACATTTAGAACGGGGGTAATTTGAGTTTTTCAAGAGTGGAAGGATAGCAAATAAGATTTCACATTGCCCCAAGGCTCTGAGCGGGGAGCCAGGCTTTCTCTAATCCGGGAAGTTTGCCCCTACTTTTATGTCTTCCTTTATTCATTATGAATCCCTCCTCCAGCAATGGGTCTCATTCAAACAACAACCAGGTGGGATTTGTATAATAAATTAAATTAAAAATTCATTACTTCTCCCAAACCCTGATCCCTGTTTTATTCTGTTGTGATGGCATGGATCTATTCACATTCATCCATGTCAGCCCTGATGAAATTAAGGTTGGTAACCTTTAGTAAAGGCCACATGTTTAACACTCCTTCAAGTCAGCAGGCATTCAAATACCATAAAGGCTAATGTAGCCTGCTGTTAACAAAAAACAAAACAATACAAAACAAACAAACGAAGAACAGAAAAACTTTTGTTTGAGCACCATTTGAATTAAGGGGGAAAAAACCCACTGACACATTCCTAGGGCATGATGAAAGGAGATTGTTTGGTACAGACACTGCATAGCTCTGTACAGCATAGTTACTGTGAGGTTGTAAAGCAAGTTTAACATCCTTCAGGAGCACTGGCTGATAAGGTCTGTGGCTAATGCATACAATTTTTAAACTGGATCTGTATCCAACTCTCAACGCTCCGCTAGGAACTGAATCTCCACAAGTGGGCAGGGAGATCCCGGGCCATTATCAAGGCTGCAGTAAGATGCATTCTTGTTAGAGAGATGGCTATGCCTTGGCAACACGTTACACAGAAAAGTGCCTCACACTTATTCGAAACTGTTCTGTAGTTCAGCTGTTTCTAGTTGCCTCTTTAATTAGTGATCTGCAAACAGAAAGAATATTGAAAGATATTCACATCTAACCCCTTCACTGTCTTCTTGTCATCCACGGAAACAACACATCAAAAGAATGTTGAAGAGATGCAGTCAAAGGTTTAGCCCGAGATATCACCTGCAGCCCTTTCAAAATGGATACTACCCCCGCCTTTCCTTAAGAACCCATCCTACTTCAGCCAAGAAAAGAAAAGCAGAGCTCTGGGCATTTTTTTTGTATTACAGCCATTCCCCGACTTACGACCACTTCGACTTACAACCAACCTTGCGGCAGCACGTTGTGTTTGCATGTCTGTGGTCAGGCAGCGTGTTCACGTTTCATTCCCTCACAGCGTTCTCAGTGTTTGCTTGTGGCCATCATGTCAAGTAAAAGAAAAAGGGCTAGTGATAAGGGTGGTGAGAAAAGAAAGAGAAAAACTATTGATTTGGAACAGAAAATAGTGATAGTGAGACAATATGAAGGGGGTCAAATAGTGTCCTTCATGTCGCGTAAGCTAGGGCTATCAAAATCCACTGTCAGCACCATTATAAAGGATAGCGATCACATTCGAGAAGCAGTGAAAGGGTCTGCTCCTATGAAATAAAAAATTCTAACAAAGCAAAGAGCAGATTCCATTCTGGAAATGGAAAAACTCTTAGTGCTTTGGATGGAAGATCAAATTGAAAAACGCACGCCATTAAGTCTCATGACGATACAAGCTAGGCTCGTAGTCTTTTTGAAGACTTAAAGAAAAAGAAGGGGTATGACTATGACCAAACTTTCACTGCCAGTCACGGTTGGTTCAACCGTTTCAAGACGTGTGCAAACCTTCATAATGTGAAAGTAAGTGGGGAGGTGGCCAGTGCTGATTTGAAAGCAGCAGAACCTTTCATAGAAGAATTGGATAAGCTGATAAAAGAAGGAAATTATTTTCCAGAACAGATCTTTAATGTTGATGAGACAGGTCTCTTTTGGAAGAAAATGCCCAAATGAACCTACATACATAAAGAAGCAAAAACTATGCCTGGTTATAAGGCTTTCAAAGATCGTCTAACAGTCTTGTTAGGAGGCAATGTTTCTGGGTATAAATTGAAACCCCTCTTGATTTATCGCTCTGAAAACCCTAGAGCCTTCAAGAATATCAGAAAGACTACTTTACTAGTCCATTATTGCGCTAATAAAAAAGCATGGATGACGCTTGCACTTTTTGAAGATTGGTTCATGAACTGCTTCATCCCTGAAGTCAAGTCATTTTTTCTGGAGAAAGGAATTCCTTTCCAAATTTTGCTTATTTTGGATAATGCTCCAGGTCA